TTTGAATCTGGTTCGGAATTTATTTCTGAAGAAGAAATTCGAAGTCACGATATAAACAAAAAATCAAATGATGTTCGTTTACTTGCCAATGGGTATATTTTGTTTTTTTTTTATTGTCCGAAAAAAATACTTTTATAAACCAATTTAGTCGTCATCCAATAACTGTTGTTTCTGATAAAACATCCAGTGGTATAAAAGAAAATATTGAAACAAACGTTCAGCGTAATATTACAAAGAACTTTTATATCAATGAAGAGCAAAATTATTTTATTCAAAAAGAACCATTAATTGAAACATCAAATCGTTTACATGATCAAGAGATTCAAAGACTTCCGGGACCAACAGTAACAACAGTAAATATGGCAGCTGAACGAATCACTGATAATCCAAGTAAAACTTGTTCTATATATTTTTTGTGAAAAAGTTAATTATGTATAGATTGGGAAAATGTAAATGTCAAAGAGGATATTGGTGATCAAAATCCGAAAAAAGCTTCTTCGGAAATTGTTATCAATGATCCATCATTATTTGAACAAGATGTTAAATACGAAAAACAACCAAATATTTATACTCATCGACCAGTTTCTCCGGATATTCCACGTGTTCAAAATAAAAAATTAGGAAAACAATCATCTATAATATCTGATGATGGCTCAACAACTAGTGAAATGAGTGGACATGATTCAGAATCAATCTATGAAACAATTCGTGTATTTACCCCAAGAAAACAACGTTTGTTATTCACAAGAAATTTTTTCGGTTTACCTTATATTTTTTTCTTTGACATTTAGCTCTACCACCATTAGCTGATGAAGATGAATATAAAACAGCTGGTGTTGATGAAGTCGAATTTGAAATAAAAGACCTTGTTCGTTTACAACAGGCTAATGCTCAAAATAGTGGCGCCTATAATGATATTTTATTATCAAAGAGTATGTCTCGTCAACATCATACACCTCTTGTATCATCTTTATCATCTTCATCAACTCTAAATAATTTAATGCCAACCAATTCTCAACAAGATCGACGGAATGTTGTTTCAGGTGAAGAAGAAAAAGAAGAAACTGTTACAGAAACTGTTAAAACTCAACAAATTCAAACAACATTTCATCAAATTGGACAACATCTTGATGACAGTGCATTTTTTATTCCATTGGCTTCATCAATAAAATACCATCAAGGACAACTAAATGATGATAGAAAAATTATTATACCCGTATCCGCGTCATCTGTGTCTCAAGAAGAAAAACCAGCATTAGAACATTTTTAAATACATTTTTCTCCCATTAGTGCCCTCCAAAGATAATTAAACTATTCATGAGATATATGAGAAGGGCTACAACCCACTAATGGTCACATTAAACACATATGCTCATCCTAACTTGTTTTTTACTTTCAATATAAAAAAAAGAATAAAAGAAAAGGCATCAGTTGTGACTTTGGAGGCGTTTAATGCGCTCGAACCAACTATATATATATATGAACGAGCAAATCAATCGACAGTATCAGTTATTCTCAGAGAAAAAAATGCGAATACAATATCTTATAGCGACTCTAATTCTCCTCAGCTGCTCGTGTAGAAAGCGAATAGTTGATGGAAAAGCAATAGCCAACGTAGTTCAACCAACACCGTCTCAAACTGGACCAGCAATTAAAAAAACCGAACCTGAACAATCTGTCAAACAACCAGTTGTCAAAAAAGCGGAAGCCACTACTGATAAAGATGCACCGAAAGAAGTGCCATTAGGAGAATCAGCACTTCAAACCATGCAAGCTGAACATGTGAAACCACTCCCTCAACAACCTTCCCCTTCAATCGAAGACAAATCGCCTCAACAACAAGCCCAATCAGTTAAAAAACCCGGCGCAGACTCGGGAGAGAAAAATCCACCGACCACGGAACCAACATCCGCTTCACACGGAGGCAAATCATCAGAGAATAAAGCCAAAGCATCTGCTGAGAACAACGGACAACAAGTAGAAACCAAATCAGCCGAACACGGAGCGAAACCAGCAGAGAACAAAGCTCAATCATCCGGTGAGAAGCATCAAGGATCCGTAGAAGCCAAATCAGCTGAACATGGAGGAAAATCAGCAGAGACCAAAGGCCAGTCATCCGGTGAGAAGCATCAAGCATCCGCAGAAGGAAAATCAGCTGAACATGGAGGCAAATCAGCAGAGAACAAAGGCCAATCATCCGGTGAGAAGCATCAAGGATCCCTAGAAGCCAAATCAGCTGAACACGGAGGAAAATCAGCAGAGACCAAAGGCCAATCATTCGGTGAGAAGCATCAAGGATCTGCAGAAGGCAAATCAGCTGAACATGGAGGCAAATCAGCAGAAGGGAAGTCCGCTGAACATGGAGGAAAATCAGCAGAGAATAAAGGCCAATCATCCGGTGAGAAGCATCAAGGATCTGCAGAAGGCAAATCAGCTGAACATGGAGGAAAATCAGCAGAGAATAAAGGCCAATCATCCGGTGAGAAGCATCAAGGGTCCGTAGAAGCCAAATCAGCTGAACATGGTGGAAAATCCGCAGAGAACAAAGGCCAATCATACGGTGAGAAGCATCAAGGATCCGCAGAAGGCAAATCAGCTGAACATAGAGGCAAATCAGCAGAAGGCAAATCAGCTGAACATGGAGGACAATCAGCAGAAGGGAAATCAGCCGAACACGGAGGAAAATCAGCAGAGAACAAAGCTCAATCATCCGGTGAGAAGCATCAAGGATCTGTAGAAGGCAAATCAGCTGAACATGGAGGAAAATCCGCAGAGAATAAAGGCCAACCATCCGGTGAGAAGCATCAAGGATCTGCAGAAGGCAA